CCCCAAAACCCCAAAACCCCAAAACCCCAAAACCCCAAAACCCCATTATGCTTTTATAATAAAATAATATATAATAATTATAAATGTTCTCTAAGCAGAGTGTGAGAATCAATAAAGCTCTGATGGTAAGAGAAAACTTGCACAATTTTTATTAGCCTAAACTGACTCCTATATTATAGCAATCTAATACCCCAATGAGATTCTTCAGAAGGAATGCAGCTCCAGGATTTTATAATTTAAGATTCAGACCATCCCAAGGTGTAGACAGCAATTATATCCCATTCACAGGAAAATGGTATGCACCAGGAGGAGTTGATAAAAATAAGACTGACAGAAACCCAAATAACTTCAAATACACAAACAACTTGTTCAGTCAAGATGTTGATGAGTGGAGGAATAGAGGATTCGACTATGTATATCAAATTTATAGAAGATTGCATAGATCAAATGACGGGTGGACCAGAACTTTAGTCGCCTACACTTCTTTCTGCTTCATGATGGCTCACCAAGCCCTCTTCTGGAAAGTCCATCTGTTCTGCTTCGGTATTTTCACTGCTACCAGAATTAGAGATAGAGCTGCTGAACCAACTATTGATGAAGTAAATGTGCTAGATACTATTTTCAGTAATGACAAGCTTAAGGAATTGTTCACTCCAGAGACTTATCACGTTATTGACTACAACCAGGAGTGGGATAAGGGAAGAGATAACCCATACTTCCCAGAATACAGGACAACTATCGCCAAATTCTTCAACACCGACTCTAATACCACTACTGGATTCTACAAATTTGGGGATGTTGAATCAGGAGCTTTAATGACTCTACACTTCAAGACGATGCCATTCGCAAATAACAAATACAATTTCTCAGAGCCATTCATGATCTATGACATGTGGGCTGAGGTTACTCATGAAGGTGAGTTCTTCGAAGAACGTATTGTCAAGGCAGAAGAAGTCCTTAGAACCAAGAAGATCTTCGTCAGTTGGCACTAAGCAATCAAATTCTAATCATTGCAGCAAATCAGAGTCTCAATTATCAAAAATAATAAAGGGGTTTTGGGGTTTTGGGGTTTTGGGGTTTTGGGG